AAAGAAAGAAAGAAAGAAAGAAAGAAAGAAAGAAAGAAAGAAAGAAAGAAAACCACTCCTCCTGTAATTCATCTTTTCAGCAAGTGTCTGTAGTGACTTGCTTTCAGTTTCAGAAGCGGGCAGTAGGCTTTGTTTACATGTTTCCTCTCAACTCCCTGAGGCTGCAGGTTTTGTGAGCTGCTACATGGACTTCAGCGCTGGGGCTGCCGGCAGGGGGCATCAGACACACAGACCCAGTTCCCCATTGAGCTCTCCTCCTACCTCACTCAGAGCCGCCCGTCCTCCGACTGCTGCAGTCTGGGCCACCCACCCCAACCTGGGGCTTCCCACCCCAGGCGGGCCTGGGAGCCCACGACCAAAGCTGCCTGGAGGGGGACCTTTCTGCTTGTGCTGCACACTTGGCCGCCGTGCACAGGGCCAGCCATCGCTACCAGGAGCTTCCGATGTTGGCGGATGATTTTCAAGTTCGGGCAGGCCGCTGACTCCACCGAGGTCTCCTCAGAGTTTCAGATCCGAAGAGAACGGGAAGTTTAAGGAGAGATTCAGAAAATCTGATTCCGAGTCCAACTCTGCAGGGAACCAGTCACGCGAGCGTGTTCATTTTACCTCGCTTCTCTGGGTCTCGGTGTCCCCATTTGCCAAGTGAGTGAAGGAAGTCTAGATGATCTCCAGTGCCCCTCTCTCAGATTCGAAATGTATATGTTTTCTACTCAGAGTCACCAGATCCCCTGCATTTATTAAGTGCCTACTGGATGCAAGGCACTGTGGGGGGGGGGGTTAGTGATGAATATGGCATGGGCTATGAGCAGAAGCAGCTGTCCAATTTATTTTAGGATGATGGTGACTCCCAACTTGGCCTAACAGCACAGAAGCTCTCTTTGTGTCTCTTTTCTTATTTCCTTTCCAAGATTGTGTTAAGAGGCCAACTAATGCTCTCTTCCTGCGGTACTGGTGACAGAGGCAAAGAAAGAGAACGTCATTTACATTAATCTAAGCCTAGAGGAAGGTCTGTGAAGCAAATACTACTTCTTTCCCACCCACTCCCCATCCTTTTGTATTCAGACGAGACAGAGAGACGTAGAGACTGAAGTCTGGCAATCGGCGTGTGATTGATTGAGGTGGGTCCCATCGATTCTGTGTCCCTAGTGCACCCAGTAAGGCCACGGTTTGCCTTCAGTTCCCACGAGGCAACTAGCGTGGCCTCCGTGGTGTCCAAAAATACAGCCAGACCAGCCAGGGTAACAGGCCACTGGGCACCTCCCCTCTGGGGGGCATTTAAGAGAATGTTCTTGAGGAGCAAAAGAGAAATCACACACTGAATGAATGAAGGTATCGAAATTTATATCACTCAGTGTTATATGACGTATGCTGGACAGTAATATATATGTTTTAAAATAATAATTTTGTATATATTTTAAATAAAGTATTACTGCTCTTTCGGTGTATAAGACTATGTCCTTACCAAAATTAGCACCAGGGCCATCAATAGTAAGCCACAAATCTGGTGTCTACACCTCCTAGGACAACTTCAGGAAATCTAGAACCTTGAAATTGCTAACCAAGCGCAAATGACTACAGGATATTAACACGATAAGATGACAATGGGGAGACTATTTAAACAATGGGGGGGGGGTCACAACTGGAGCTCCCAACTAAAAATCATTCATGGCCCCACTAAGTAACTCCAGCTAATTAGTCTTCACCTCTGACTTCAGCCTGCCACCTTCAGAATTCTCCCCCACTTCAATGAGCCTTTAATGAACTTCGCTTTCCTAAAATAGTGCATAACTACCAAGTTCTTACATCTTTCCCTGAGGCTTGCCGTCAAGCCCTCTGTTGGCTTTTGGTTTATATCTTCTCTTTAGCCCTGGGGCACCTGACTTTTTTTCTGTGGGGCCTGGGCAGTGACTGTGGTAACAACTATCTCAGAAGCTCCAGGGGAGAGCCTAGCCTCAGACTGTCAAACTAATACTGACTACCCCTAAAAATCCAGTGCCTTCTTGTCTTGAATCTTGATCCCTGTGGCTGGGGCGAAATAAAAGCAAAGTTTCGCTAGGACGTTCTGATAGCCAAGCTGAGCAAGAAGAATCTAGATCAATTCCCACGTTGCTGCACTGAGCCCTGGGAACGTTTTCCCCAACGTCATTTACAGCACATGGTTTTTTTTTGGACTAAAACCCCCACCATGTTAAGTATTTCCTACATGGTTCTGCTTGCTTCAGCTGAGAGTGATGGATAAGGTACGGGCTGTGCCACAGAGCAGTGTGGCTCGGACCCTCGAAGTTTGGGGAATGCCCAGAGACCAGGCATTTGCTTTTATGGAAACGCACGGGCAGTGGCGTGCGGAGGGCGCGTGCTCTGGGATGGGACAGTCCAGACCCCAGGGCCACCTTGCTCTCCGTGGGATTCTGGGTAAGCCATGGAGCATTTTTGCACCTCAGCTTCCTCATCTCCTAAATGGCAGAACTACTCCAGCCAGGGGGCCTCCGTGAAGAAGAAGTGAAATAATGTGTATAAAGGATCTAGCTCAGGGCCCGGTCCAGGGTAGAGGCTGAATGAACGGTGGCCATAATGATCACGGTTGTATTGCCAACTTGTTTTATGGCGAAGATTTGTTCTTTGGGGGCAAGCGTAGAAATTTGTTTTGGAGACTGGCTCTTCAGTCCAAATCCCAAGATTTCAGGGCTCAGCTGACAAGAACACAGCGCGCAGCGAGGCCCGGGACATGGGTTTGACTTCAAAGGGCAAATTTCTCAGTGGCCGGCACTGCACCATTTCATTCTACTGGAAGCTCTCCCTGGGCGGTGAGTTGGCCTCCCAGCACTGCTAGTGGAATGGGCTGGATGGGGGGAGGGGGGGGATGCACCCCCATTCCCATGCCTGGGAAAGCATCCTAAGGTGCACATGCGGCTGTTCTGAGGGCGGTTCTGAGGTCTGCAGAGAGCAGAGTAGCATAGTTAGGACCACAGGGAGGCAGGAAGGAGAAAGGAAAATGGCTTTAAGACAATAACCTTGCTTCCCTTGGTCCCGGGCAGCTAGGTGAGACCTCCGCTTGTGGGGTTGCTCAGTTATCAGGTTCCTTGGATCCAGTTTCCCACTAACCCTCCAGGGCACTGTCCTTATCTTTGTGGTGGGTTTTGGCCGAAGCCAGGTTCGGGTTTGCCTCCTGAGGAGAGGAACAATGGGCATAAGACACATCACACTCCCCTGATCTTTCCTGGCCGAGAGCCGAGTCACATGACCACAGCCAGCTGCACAGCAGGCTGGGAAATGGAGTCCCTGCCTAGTGGGGAGAGAGGATGTGCCCAGCCACAGCTTTCTTAGCATGGAAGGGGAGAAGGATTTAGTGGATTCCCAGCAGTTTCTGCCAAAATATTCCACGATTTTGAAAAACAAGGGATCCTAGCACACGTACAAATTCTGAAATCCTGAGCACAAATTTCATAAGTGAGCTCTGCTCATTGTAAAATAAAAACACCTTGGGGCGCCTGGGTGGCGCAGTCGGTTAGGCGTCCGACTTCAGCCAGGTCACGGTCTCACGGTCCGTGAGTTCGAGCCCCGCGTCAGGCTCTGGGCTGATGGCTCAGAGCCTGGAGCCTGTTTCTGATTCTGTGTCTCCCTCTCTCTCTGACCCTCCCCCGTTCATGCTTTGTCTCTCTCTATCCCAAAAATAAATAAACGTTGAAAAAAAAAATTAAAAAAAAAAATAAAATAAAAACACCTCTACTGCATCAACCCAACAGTTGGTGTTTCTCCACCTCTAGCCGTCAACATAAAGGGACCTACATCCACAGAGAAAACCTGCATGCATTTATGCCTGTGCCATAAGGAGAGAAAGCGGCCACATTTAATATTTCAGACACAAAAGGAGAACGACATGAAAGCTAAACTATTTGAAAATTTGCAGCTACAGGGGCACCTGGGTGGCTCAGTGGGTTAAGCATCCGACTTCAGCTTGGGTCATGATCTCATGGTTCGTGGGTTCGGGCCCTGAGTCTGGCTCCAGAGCCTGGAGCCTGTTTCGGCTTCTGTGTTGCCCTCTCTCTGTGCCCCTCCCCTGCTCTCTCTTTCTCTCTCTCTCAAATGTGAAAAAAATAAAATAAAAAGAAAAGAACATT